CGGCCACCTCGGCGCTGACAGCCTCCTTCAAATAGGCGCGGATCGCGGCCTGACGGAACCGTTGGCACGGGCACGGAACCCGTGGCTGGGGCGCGCAGTTCTTCAAGAGAGGTTAGTTTCAGTGGTCTAGATTAGATCTTATAGGAACCGAGGTTGGGGTACCCAACTGGGATAGTCGAACAGTCGGGTTCTTCAACCTCTTTTGGTTATTGGAGATCGAGCATCATGCTGGTCGTGTCAGGGCCACAGTCGCACCTGGAGTGTAGACCTATATATATATATAGTTTAAGACTATGGATGATCTAGTAGACAACCTTGGATGGACGTTAACGATCAGAAATGGATCTGGACTGGAAATATCTGTGGTGGGACCTGAAACCCACCCCACAATCTCTGGTATGATACATTTATAAATTAATCATTTTGTATATAATCATGGAACCTGATGTACTGTACCCCAAATTCAAATCCAATTTTGAACCAATTCCACCTTCACCTCCACCACCCTCCGGATCCTCCCTGATCCCCGCACGAGTTACGCGTCTCTTCCGCCTGTGTCTCTTCGGCCTGGTCCGGCGTCGCCACCTTGCCGGTGCCAATGGCCTGGACTCCGGCTGTCGGTCGTGGTGGCCGCAGAGAGACGCAAAGCGCCACGACGCGACGTGACGACGGCAGTCGACAGAGTCTGTGGGTGTTGCGAAGGTTTTGCGAAGGCACTGAGAATTGATGAGAATTGGATTCCAAAGCGAAGCCTATACACAGAAAACACCGGTGCTTTTCGGTTTTGCGAAGGCTTTTTTGTTTTGAATCGAACATGACTTTTCAGTCTCTGGGATTCACCCAATGGTTTCTGCAAAAGAACAATAAGATATATAAAACACCCAGGAGTCACAAAGGGGTGGTTTTGAGTCCCTAAGTGAGTGGATGTTCTGGGCACCCTCCATTAAGCCCGCCTTGCATGTGGTTGTTAGATGTGCAATGATTGGAACCGGCCGAAATGAGTTTGGGGACACCTTCTTGAATGAAGCATCCCAAAACCTGCTGGGTGAGGTCATCCAGGGCCTTTTGAAATCTGAAATCAACAAGAGACATCACCGCAGAATCTGCACACTGAGTCCGACTAGACCAACTACGGTGCTTTCAGAGGCGAGAAATGGCACGTGTCCAGCCCAAGAAGTTCTGAAAAAATGGAGGTCCACTCATTGCACCACCAAACTTGGGCAATTGTGCTGTGCACCTACTCTCAATCCACCAAAACACCCAGCTTCGTGCCTTCCATGTATATACGTTTTTATATAGGCTTTAACTGGCACCAACTCTGCATCCCAGACGTCTGCAAAAGAAAGCCTAAGGCGACTAGGTTTTCCCAGCCCAGACGGGTTCGTAGGCGATGACCATGAGGTCCTGACCCGACGAAAAATGGCGTCGAAGATGGAAACGTGCAAGTTCTGCGCTCAGTTCTCGCTTTGGGGGCATTCAACATCATTCAACTATATAAGTATAATGATGATACATATCATGGAGTGTCTGGGATATAGAAAGTGCCTGTGAGGGCGGCACAGGCGGGTTCCCATTCATGGATGATGGGACCCTTAAGCCGGAACTGAGGAAACAACTGCTATCTTTGACCATCCCAGTCGTGAGGGTGTTCTTTGTGGCTTGATGTCCGGGTTCAGTTGGTGAAGAAATCTGGATTCATTACAAAGGTTCGCAGCCTCCAAGCTGGAAAGAACCTCTCCTGAGTGAAGCCTAAACCCTAAAGGCCTACCTGTGGGGTTTTGCAGGTCTGGACTTCATTGGCGGCAGAAATATCAAGAAACACAGCATTATACAAGCGAGAGAAGAACAACTAACACATGGTGCTTCCATGATTTCTCCCATGTAAGTATATAAGCAAATGTCCTCATTCAGGTCCACTTAAGAGCTAGTTGGCCTCTGCCAGGGCGACACCCAATTGACCCGACCGCCCCGGTCGACCGAGGCCCGCCGATCGCGTGATCCGATCGTTTGGTCCCAGTTCTTCACTTTGGGGATGATCGCAGCCAGCTGTCGCTTGTTCACCTGAGCAGATGTTGATCGTACCGGCTGCATGCTGGCATGACACCCGGCATACAAGTGCTTACGAGATGGACTGAAAGAATCACAGGGGGGGCCCAAAGAACTCCTCGTCTTTTCATGTCTTTTCTGATGAAGATGTCTTTGTTTTCCTGGGAAAAAGGCCGATTGCGGGGTGGTTTTCCGAAAAAAGCCTGAATCGTCTGGACCTCACAGCGACACTAAAGGCCGCATGAAGTGGAATCACAAGGTGAAGGGATCAACGAGAGTCCAGTAATTCATTGTACCCCAGCCTGGTAGTGGAAGAACTGCTTTCCAAATGGGATTTCTAATTAGATCAGAATGGAAGTTCTGGGTTAATCACATGGGGTGGCAAGGAGAATCTCCGAGATTCTCGCACTTGAAAGCAGCCATGTAGCTTCAGATCTCCAAGAATTCATGACGTGTCCCTTTTCTGGGTGACCCTTTTCCAGGTGTTGTTGGGGAGGAAGGTCGATTGCAAATCATCCCATTGGCGGTTTGTAGGTCGACCAGATTGTAGAAAGAGCCATGTGCCGTGTTGGCTGTCCGAACAGGTCACTCGCTCGTCCTGCCGGCCTCATCCGTCTTCCCGCCCTCGCGCTCCTCCAGCAACTCACCGATGCAGAAGATCACCTTCGGATGTGATTTCGGGGTTCCATGTCGGGGTGCCGTTTTTTGAACGTAACGGAGAACACATGTCGAGATGCTGACGTGCCCATCCACAGCCCCTGGGATGGGACGAGGCAAACCATTCCTTTGGAACTGGTTTGAAGCTTTGGTGGATTTTGCTCCTGAGAAGGACGAGACGAAGGAACCAATGGAACGGGCCGGTCATTGGGACTCAAACGATGGCCATGAGGGTAGAAAGGAGGAACCCTCCACACCTGCCTGGCCCAAAACCAGCCAGTGTTTCACTGCTACACCAAAGGAGGCTGTCCAAAAAAAACCTCTACCAGCAGTCACAAAGGGGTGCTTAATGGAGGTTAGGGGTGCCCATTATCCACTCACTTAGGGACTAAACACCACCCCGTCTTGTGACTGCTGCAGTACATATATATTTTGACGTTGTCTTTATTTATCCCTATCGTTTTACAGTGTTACCGTGGATTCCTGGATTGAGCATGTTTCTTGCAAAATGGACATGCACAGAATACGGTCAAAATGTTGTTGTTTTTTTACATATAAGTAACTACCAACCTCCCATTGTTGATCATTGTTGGCATAGGTTCCATCTTTGTCTTGGAGATGACTGAGGGCTGATGAAATCTGAGGACAAGGGCCGAGTGAAATCTCTTGCAGAAGGGAACCGGATTTAATTTTAGGTGTTAATATCCGCCACAAAAGAGAGCCTAAATATATAACTTCGCAGCCATGCCCCCCCGTGGGTTCCTGCCACACTCGTCCAACATCCATGCCGCGCAGACCGCGCGCAGACCGCGTGCAGACCGTGTGGTGCCATGCCGTGTCGTGTCATGACGTCGGAAGACGGGACGTGCCTTCAGTCCAGCCTCCTGGCACTTCTCCACTTTCAGTGCCGTGTCCTGTCGCTGGTGACCCAGACCCGGAAATTGAAGAACCGCAGACGAGCGCAAGAAGTGTTGAAGGAGTCTTGGCTGGTTTTGCGCGGGACGCTGCAATTGGGTTTCAGAAGGATTTTCTGCATCAAATCGATCTGAAAGGCTGAAAACATCCTGACATGTCTGAAAAAAAAACCATTGGAACAAGTATTGGAACACACCGACAGGAAAAACAGTCGTGTCGTTGCCATGCATTGCTTCGGAAAAGGAATGAGGTCTCCAAAGCGGCCAACCAAACAGGCTGCAGGTTCAGCAAAACCGGCCGTCTCCTGCAATCCAGCCTCGTCACCTGTGTACGTGTCCCTTGAGTACGTGGCACCAGTAACGATTTCTCTGGGGAAGTCGAGAGCATCTCATCCCCAAACACGACCTGCCTGGGACTGGCATCTCTGCCGTCCCAGACAGACCAACAGACCCCTTTTCAACTACCCCAAGTGATCGGTATATATGCCAATCCCATGGGTGTCAGGGATCTGAAGTACCCAGTAGCCAATTGGGTGGTGTTGAAACCCTGAGAGAGTGGATGTTCCTCCATGGGTAGCACCCCTGCGCGCAGGGAGACCGCTGGAAGCATCACTGTCCTGAATCTTTGAAAGCAGGGAGACCCCAGCCGTAAACCATCGTGAACCTAAATGCGTGAAATTACCCCAGTTTGAGGGGTGACACATTCATTCTTAAGAGACCATCTCTGGGCAGCAAACGACACCACCTTCTCCTGACCTCCACGCACTCATTCAGCAGACAGGCCCACTCAATCCACCCCGTTGTTTTTGTTTTCGCGGCTGGTGCTGGCTCACTCATTCGCGCTGGCGACCACTCAGTAGAGCGTTGAGAGAACCTTTCGGGCTTGGAAGCCATTGCCTGACAGCGTCTTCGCTCACAGAGTCTCTCGACTCGTGAACTCGCGGAGCGGTTGGCGGTCGTGGGTACTGCGGGTGTAGACCCGGTCCGCTTGGTGGTTTGGAGGTCACCTCTATTGCTGTTAGACACCCCCCATGGCCCGGTGGGCCGATGGTCGTTTGGAAAAGAAAGCTGTTCAAACGATCAAGAATCCATTCCTGAAATCAGCTGGCAGCAATGAATGAAAGGAAAAAACTCATTGGGTGGTCTGACTGGAAGTATCTGTGCTTCCAGCAAGCACAGTGCTGCTGCACGATTAACTCTTTGTTGCATCAGTAGAACTATTGTAGTTGTTTGATGTTTTTTGTTTCTCCATCTGGCATGCCTTACTGCATCCTACTGCGATGGATGGCATGGATAGTATGTCCTCTCTTTTGGGCAGGGAAAGCAACCAACGACGAACACGTCTGCTTTGATGCGATTCCGAGTATACAAAAAAACCGACGGTCAAGCACCTACTTTTGAGTCCAAGAAACCTTGGGTCAACATGTAGAAATACTCCAAGTCCTCTGCCGGAAAATTATGAAGGACCTTCATCAGGCGCAAGTACATGACGTAGTTGGCGAACTCTTGCCTTGAGATGAACTCGGAGTGCTAGCTGTGAACGGGCGCTCACTCTCGCTGCTTGTGCGCGGGCCCAGCCGTGGACATTAAGAGAGATCTGATGACAAAACACTGCAATTGTCGGTGCAACACCCAATCTTGGATTTGCTTAAGCAAAAGATAGAAACTATAGAAACAAACTATTTCCCAGAACCTAAGCAAAACTAGGCAATGGTGGGTCGATATCTTTCCGGGCGGCAGTGATCATTGTATGCTAAAATGAGTAAAATCATTGACACACTAAATATGTATAGACGGTGAAGACTGGAGGTTGGAGATATGCGACCGAAAACGCTTAACAAAAGGGTTTGTGAAGGGTTCCTCTCATCATATGGCAGTGTTTTTTAATAGGGAGATCTCCAATGAGATCAATCAATGTGTTTGGGTCTATGTTTCTTCTTCCAGTAAGGATACCCGTGTGTGACACGATCACTATCACTATCACTAGCAGTACTACACAGTACCACTAATTTGATTCCACCAGGAACAAATTACTTATTATGACATTGTACCAAACATTGATTTCTTCGGAAATGCAAAATCATCGAGAGAGGTTTGGAGAGCTTATGAAGGCCCGTCCAACACAGACTGAGATTCCAAGGACTTTTATCTGACGCTAAAACCGTTTCATCCAATTCCATCCAATGCCTTTTCCTTGCCAAGTCGCTGTGTAAAGTTTCTCACCGTACGAATCTGGTGAGCCTCACGTCTCAAACTTTGACGGCAATCCCAAGCTCTTTCTTGAATCAGGATCACCATATTTTTTAGGGACCAAAAGAAACACAACAGGAGATTCTTCCAAACCCTGATGGGAACACCACAGTTTCCGACTCCGGTACTTTGAATCGGAAGTTGTTCAAAACCCACCATCCACCTACCTGGTCTTGGATCCCTGGATCATTTTGGACCCTTGGACCATTTCGTAAAAAACACCGCTTTCACCTCACCTGGACGCCGAGGAGTTCCGGTCGATAGTCCCGTCGGTTGCTGCGCTGCCAACTGGTGGCACAAAGCTTCCTCGGGACGAGGTCTGACGCGATGCGAGTCTGCCAGTGGCTCGGCCATTGCCAGGAGTTAGTTTTTTTCAGCAGGAACCCTGTCAGGAGGGAAAGGGGTGCATTGCTTTGCTTCAGGAGGTCTTGCTTTGCGGTGAATTGGGGATGGGAATGTGTAGAGATGGAGGTTTCTTTGGGGAAGTTCCATGAAAAATCGTCGAAATAGGAGCCGCTTTTCAAATCAAGCTAGGGGGACATGGATTCGTATCAAGCTAGGGGCGATGCATAAATCTGACAACTTCTTGCCAATGGTGAGACAATGACCACTGAAAACGCTATTCAGGAGCCATCGCAAACCCATGGGTCCAAACACCAACCGTTGAACTGAAGTCATCTACGAAAGGAGGTTTTGTGCCCTGTGGCCTGAAAGCGGGGACATATGAAAGCCACCAAAATCAATCAATCCACCCCAGACACTCCATGGTCATGGGACTGCTATGTTTGCATACATAGGGGTGGTTTTGGGGAGTCAATGTAGGTAAATATATGCCATACATGGAGTGTTTGGGCACTAGTGGCCTCCAAACCCCCTGTTTGTAAAAGGCTGTGTGTAAAGGAAAGTGGTCTTCACAAAGGCTGCTTCCACTTCCATCTTAGTGAGGGGCACTTGCTCCGGTCCCGTCCAAAAAAGTTGACGAAAGTCATGTTCTTGGTCAGAAAGTTAAAAAAGGACAAGTCCTTATAGACCCAAAAACAGGGCGAATTCTATAAAGCGTTCGGAACTTCTGGGTTTTCTCATGAATTGCCTTCACCGTCCGACCGTTTGGGGTCTTCACCGTCCGACCGCGTCCTCACCACATGTGTCCCGAGCGTCAGGCCCCGTTGGAAGCGGTGCCCGTCCCAGCGGTGGAGCGCCCGAGGCATGGAAAGATGATACGCGGGGATGTAGCCGTTGAAGCGCGTGTTGTCATAGCCTGGTGGGTGTGGTTATAATATATGTTATTCATCATGGGTCATGGCGGGGAACCTTTTGGAGGGATCAAACCGGGAACGCGCGGTTCTTCTTCTTCTTGCCTGAATTGGGGAGCTTCTTCTCTTGGCGGAAAGGGTCTTCCGATTGGAGAACGGAGAAAGTCGAACATCCACCAGGCTGAAACAGCTTCCAGCTTCCCACCTAGAAAATAGACGGTTCAGGAGGATGAACCTCTTGCTTCCCCTCTTGCAGGACCAAAGCTTTGCTGTTTTCATGCATGTTCAACGCATTTATACGCATGTTGTTTTACCATGTGTACCCGATTCCTTTTCACATCCGCTTGGAGTGGGCGAAACGACAAACACGGGGTGTTGACGACATGTTCTCTCCTTGTGAAAGAAATCCACTTGTGTGACAGAAATGTGCCCGATGTTCAATGTTCGTAGATAGATATTCTCTAAACAAATCAATCACCCCCAGAAAGCATTTGGCCCAGTGACGCAGCCGTTTCAACGTTTCGCCAAGGTCTCTGACCGTTCATGGCCATGGGGTTGGGGAGTTCCAAAGACCCCAGCCACTCAAGTGGCCCAAAACACCTCCCAACCAAAGGCAGCCGAATGGCGGATTGAGACATATTCCTTAGCCGCACGAACACTACCCCCAAGGAGAGGTGGTCTCAGTGCTTTCGTGTGGTTTCAGCAATTGGGTTGGGGAGGGTCTGAGAAAACAGAAAAAACAGCGAAAGCAACACAAAAGGGTGGGATATGGTGGGAGTGATCGCTAGCTCTCTAACCTGTGAGCCTCAAATTGCTACATCGCGGTTGATAAAGTGGCCCTCTTGCGAGCTGGTCACTTGAGTAATGTCAGTCAGTACAATGGGCTGAGTTCGCGGCCATTATCAAGCGAGTGCATATTCGGAAGATGCGTTTCCAGCGCAGTACTTATCAATTAATCAAGGATCTTTCAAGAAGGGCCTACTAAAAGCGAATCGTCAAAGCATATCGATACCCCAAACAACACACGATGCGTGAAACAAACAAACAAACAAACTCTGATCTTAATTGAGAAGACTATACATGTACATTCCCTAGGGATCCACAAGGTACTTGGGCCCTCCAAGCCTACATAAATAGTCTCCAATCACCTTCTGACAAGGTACTTGGATCCCTAGGGACTAAGAAGAAACACCGGCCAGAAAAGTTTTTACAATCCATCACATCACCCAAGCATCTGACACTGGGAAACACTCGTTCCAGGCATCGACCACCACCAAGACCTGAGCCGTTCACGTCCCACGGCGCGTCCGGATCGTCCGAGCTTCCATGACCCGGAGTGCTGCATGGGAAGACCGACCATGTACCGATCGGGCCAGGGGTGATTGATTGATTTCAGGGGTCAATGTAGGGTAGAAGTTGAAAGGCTTTTAGCGAAGTGGCCCCCCCAAAGAGGGAACTGCTGGATGTGCCAGAAGCTTGCAAAATGGGGTCTGGAACCCAAAGTGTTGGAAGCCATAGGCCTATAGCCTATAGCGTTTTTATTTGGTTCGCTTCTACTAGGGGACTGTGGAGGTTGAGACCCACCCACCTTGGGCATCATTGATCCAAAGTCCCTAAATCCCCACCCCTCGGCTTTTTGGGCTTTTGCAGTCCCCCTCGAGGGGAAAACGTCTCAACTCGAGAAATCCCAGGCACAGGATGAGTCCTCTGTCGTTGCAGTTGTACAAAGGTCTCAGCAACTGCCTGGACAGCATACTCCTCAGCTCAATGAATAAAGAACGGCTTCAGTGCACGATATGATGGGAGTGTGATAATCTGATCTCATATAATATATTATAATATCTTAATAATCATATATTATATAACAATATGATTGAAACGGATGTGGATGGGATCACAAGTCGACCATCTCTCAGCCAAAGCATCCGGGTTTTCCAGGCCGAACTCCACAATCTCCCAAACCTCCGTCTTCGGCCCGAGACCGTCCCGGACTGATGAGGAAGGGCCGACCGGAAGGGTCGGAACCTCAAGCTGGTGGAATGAGTCAGGGGTGGAGGCCATGAGTGGGTGATTTGGCCATGAGTGGGTGAATGTGATCCTGAAGGAAGGTCTCGCAATGTGACTAAATAGATTCCACTCATAGGATGATTGAGAATGGGTTTGTTCATGATCAAACATCCCTAAACATTCATGATAAAAAAAAGGGATCACAAACACCCGATGTTGTTGATGTTTGTTCTCACCCATGTCTTTTTTTTTCTCCCGCTTTGAATCAACGGGTATTTCATGATCCCTCACGACTCCCAACACCTGAAAGGGACGCCAGTCGGTGTTCCGACGTCGAAGCATCTGAACCCGGGGATGGGGAAAAACTGTTCAAACATCTGCTATGACTTGGACATACTTGCACATGCCAATAGCTTAGGTTCGACACTGTCAATCATGCCAATCACTTGCTTTACAATGGTTCACCGATGTTTGCCGGTTAATCTTATGTTAAGCTTGCTCAGATTCTGCACAAACACAACTACCAGAACTTTCACAATGAACTGAAGAATTCCCCAATCAGGGATTCCAAAAGAAGAAAAGAAAGTCCAAGCAGAAGAATGTCCAAGCATGCTCAACACACGTGGAATCCTTTCACGTCATGTCCTAGGCACATTCTGCGGATCCGGCATCACGTCCACCATCGAAGGGATCCGCACCTGCCATTCGCACGGCTGGATGAACGTCAGGTGGGCAGCGACTGGCGAACGTGAAAGTATCTGTGGCCTTAACGTCGTCCAGTTATTTACAGTATGTGGAAATCAGTTGGCTGCTTCAACAAGAACTGTCTCAAAGTGACCTCAATCATGAGCTGACCTAAAGGTCAATGTCAATTGGCAGGTGCAAGATGGTATTAAACATGCCTACAAATCTCCCAACATCATAAGATAAAGTGAGCTGTGTACATTTTTTACAAAGCCACACATTCACTATCCTTGATGTGCCTTTTGAATCCTTTTGATCTCTTTTCAACAAAACAAAGAACCAAACCGCTCACGATCGCCTCGCCGGACCTTGATCGTTTCGCGCGCCTGGCGTCGATAGGAGGCGATGCGCTTCAGCTCCTCCACGCCACCGAGGCCTTCGGCCTGGGACGCTGCGGGGTCGTGGCGGTTCACGGTGACCGGGAGTGATTGGAGTGTTGCTCATGTTTGTGAGGCTGCTTTGGTGGGCAGTGGGCATATTTCATCATATTTCCACATGAGGTTGCGAGTTTCTAATTTGGAGGTTGCTTTGGAACCCAAGATGAACCAGGATGAACCAGGAGTGTGTCCGTTTTGTGTTCGGTCTTTCTTGGGTGGAAGGTGCAAGCTGTTACATGCTGTTACCCATTTTTCCTAAAGAGATCAGGGAGTAAGAGACTATGACAGCATTTTTGAACCAATGGTTGAACCATGCACAACCTCAAAATGTATGCAGCAAATGACCTCCCCCCAATCCATTCAGATGCAGATTCAAAGGATTTCGGTCTGCCCCAACCACGGAACATGTCTGTAGGGGGTCATGTCCTTGTGGACTGTGCCACGGACAGTCTACCAGTAGCTTGGTTGTCAGAGAAATGATCTAATAAAGGCAACTGGATGTCTTTCACATCTTTCACAGCTGATGGCTACAAGAGGGATGTTGATTGGTCACCGACCTCTTGTGCCTCTCTTGCATTATTGCGGGCTGCCAAGCTGAAACCATTGAGAAGAAATGACAATGAAGCTCAAAGCGAGCTTGGCGAAAACACTACATGCAATGACATCAATCCAAAGGTCTGCTACAGCAAGTTTGACCAGCGAGTTCATCACCATTGGGGTATGGAAAACTATGACGTTTCTGCACTCCTTCGCTTCGCCGTATCCATGAATTCAGCAGCCAAACTGGGCCTCACGATTCTTTCCCCGCCTCTTTCTCCTTCCAAACACTATGAAAACAAACGTTCATTGGTCCCGTCGTAGGGCGACCTTCTCGGATTCTCCCCGGTCGTAGCTTTACGGAGGTCGGGCGGTCTCGCGGCCTCCACCTCGGTGTCCACGGTCTTCTGAATCAAAGGCTCATAGAGCCGACGCGTGACCTGGCGACCGGTGCGGATGGCGATCCCCCGCGCCGGAGTGACGACCTGCCACGCCACGTCCATGTCTACCATCCCGAGCGCGTGGGTCCTGGTGTACACCCCTTTTCAGCTCGGGTCAGGAGGTCTCGCCGAGTTCCTTGGCGCCTTCAGGTCTTCTCCGTCGATGCTCCGAGAGCCGTAGCTTCTCCGGTCCAGGGGGATCTCCTGGGGCGGCCAGCGGCATGGCCAGCGGCAGGTGCGTCTGGGGCGTCTGGAGAAATTCCTCGAACGATTTATTTAGTATACATGGTTTACTACCATAAACAACCAACCAACTCTTTTGCTCATGATTTGAGAGCAAACAACTCAGACTGACTGCTCCAGCGATGTTTTTGAATGCTTCAACGGAAAGACCCGTGAACGGTCGATCGGTCGATCCTTCTGTATTTCTCCCGTCGCTCGAAGGGTTTTTCTGGGGCCCTCGTCTTCGGCCCCCTCAAGGGGGAAAAAAATAGAACGCCTCCACCCTAGTAGCGTTCTTGTTCCCAGTAGCGATGCCAGGAGCTACTAGTAGCTTCTTGTTCCTAGTAGTAAGGCCAGGAGCCCCTAGTAGCGTCCTTGCTCCTACTAATTGGGCTCCAGCCGTACCTCCTCAGTTTGGACCCTCAAACGACTCTAAGACTCTAATACCCATCCAAACAGCTTCTTATAGAAGGTCTTTTTGTGAGCCCAAGGCCGGGAAAAGGATGTGTTGTTGCAAGGATTCGGGGGGATCAACATGGTATTCTGTGGGGAACTGGCACCAGGAGACCGAGTTCAGTAGACCGAAGAGTTGACCGAAGTGTTCACCGACCGTCGGGATGTTGGTGTTCCGGGTGCCATGACCCATCGCTCTTGATGACACAGCCGCAATATGAAGATTGAAGAGGCTTTACAATCCATGTCTGCGGGGATAGTCATATATCAACAGCCTACACCAGACTGTCCAAAAATCCAATCCTTAGTACTTAGCATCCATTTGAGTCCCACAGTGGTATATGCATTGCTGCATGCACGTGACACCTCCAAAACAAATAGGCTTCAACAGCTTGCGGTTGACCAAGGACCGGATCTCGAACGTCTCCCCATCTCCTCCAGCATCAAGCGGTTGGCCAGGGACCTGGCCCACGCCAGATCCGGTCCCCAAAGACTGGGACTGGTACGTGACCGGTACGTGGACCCCCTGAAACCACTCAGAACGTATGCAAATATGGCAGATGATATGCATAGATGGCGCCTCAGCTCGTGGAGAAGGAACATGGGTCTATGCAAGCTAGTATACAAGCTACTAGTAGTATCTGTTTTTGGTTCGGGCCATGTCCCATTTCCTAGAGTACGAACTGGAGGGTCCAAGGTCGGTCCAGGAGTCATGGGGTCTGTTTGGTAGCTCCAACGTGCCAGTTGACCCCACGCCGCGAGGCTTTTGTTCAGCTCACATGAAACAACGGCGCCCGTGTTCACATCTTTTGACTATAAAAGGGAGGTCTACAAGATCTGCCATGGCTACTGGTTCAACACCCTGGTTCTTCACACCAAGAATGAACAGAATAGACTACCAAACTACCTGACATGGTTAACCTACCCTGGTGAGTGAAAGGTCCCGGTGCCATGACCCACAGCCATCTATGAGTGAGAGGCTGTGTTGATCAAGAGCTCCAGGTGGTCTGTGTGGTGGCTCTTGCTTACAAGCCCGGGATTCACACGTGGGAACAGAAAACCGGTAGCAAATGAAGCTAGATGAAGCAAGAGAAAGTACCGTCTAATGTAGACTTGATCTTGAAACTCCCATATAATATATTCATACATATGAAGAGGATGTCCAATTCAAATGAGGGAGTTATATGTCTGCATTACCACCATGTCTTGGTGCTTCCAGGTCGCATGGCTTCCAGAAACTGCTGCGCAAACTCGCTTTGGATGTACACGCCGTTGTTGGAGCGCTTGATCTCTGCGATCTCACGACTGTATACTGAGACAGGTCACGTTGGCCAGTGAGGCGAAGAAGTGACGTTCGCCAGTGTGGTGAAAAGGTCCTTCGCTACACGCCAGCGAATGCCCACGCGCGTTGGCGCAATGCAAGAGGTGCGAGTGATTTGGGGCACTGACAAACCTCTGGATCCCGCACGTGCATCATGGACATTGAGACAGACTCTCATCTTCACCAAGGCTGTGAAATGAGGGGCGTATCATCCGGTCCGGAAAGGACGTTATCGTTCAAGCAAAGGAGTTCATGATCTGAATCAGCCACAAAAATACATCATGCATGCCCTTCTTCACGAATGGTTTAACCGGTGGTTGAACCGGTATGCACCATTCCCCGACCACACCAAACACCAAAGGGATCCAAAGGGACAGCCGATACGAATGTAAATTGAAAAGCTTCGAACACTGACCCTGTAGAGTAGAGTGATGTAATTAGTGCAAGTACATGTTTAGCTTCTTGTTTCGAAGGGCCCATCTCTAAGACTTTGCTGGTCGCCCATGAGTTTTTACACACAGACGGTCTTGCAAACCATTGTCAAAAACCGTTTGCTTAGCAAATCTCCAGACCGCGGACGGCAACAGCGAACACTTGAGTCAACCTAGGCCCGCACCCATTAGAGCATATATGAACCACATGTAACTTATAACTCCACTTTAAAAAGAAGTCAAAAACACAGTCACACAAGTAAGTACACATGTTGCAACACCTGGCATCCTCAAATCAACGGTGATCTCGGTATATCTCGATGACTGCCCTTATCAACAGCTGCCATCCAGGCACGTCCGGGGCAGGGCTCCAAGACCACCAGCCAGCCATTCTTCCGCGCCCACATCGCCAGCAGGTTGAGGACCTCGCGGTTGACCGTATCCCCGAAAAGGAGTCGGTTGAGCACTAGGATTTCGTGGAGATTGGGAGGAAATCTGAGGGATGGTGGTATACCGTATGCCGTATACTTTCACAAGGGTCACCGAAGGTGACCCTATTACTAACCAATGGAAAGGCTCCTTTGCTTGGATGAGAGTCTGGGGTATGAAACAAATCTGACGTGGATCGCTGGTATCGTGAGGCTTGTCTCAAAGAGGAACACCGAACACCAAAAAATACCATAGCATTGTGGACAGGGTGGTGAAACCAGTCAGTTGGGTTGAGATCAACCCCGTGATCTTCAGGCAAATCTATCCCTCGGCCTAAGACCTATTAGTAACAAACAACTCATGTTAGTAACATCTATATAAACAACACATATAGGTTGCAGCGGGGGGGATGTCAGCTATATACCTCGCGCCTCTAAGTGTCTAGAGTTGGAACCTTGAGGTCTCAGTCTCAGGTCTGTTTGCCCACTCGGCCCACTCGGCCAGCACCTGACTCTTGCCGGTGCCCTTGTGGCCGTCCAAGAGGAAACCTCGGCGGAACCGCCGCGCCTCGCCGGTCGGTCGGCATGTCGGTCAGGCCGGCTCCAAGCAAGTCCCTATCCCAGACACAACCCATGGGACTGCCATAGGACTGCTGATCAGTTGGGGTGGTGTTTTGGGGGGTCAATTGATCGGCATATATGGCAGTCACATGGAGTGTCTATACATGTAGGTTCGGTGCTTGGGGTGGGTTTGGGATCCGTGTTCCTGCCGAACCTCACGTGACCGGTACGAGTACGACTGGAACGTGACACCCGGTACGGGCAAGTCAACATGTCGTCTCACGTACCTGAGCTTCGGTACCAGTGGATCGCCCAGCAGTGGAAAAACGGCTGGTCATCCAAAGGCGAAAAATCCTCCATAAGGAGCCTTTCACGACCGGCGCCCTTTTCCAGTTTCAAGCTAGGACCAGCAGAATCACTCTGGTGCGACATGCAATAAAGTTCTAAGTCTATCCCTCTCCAAGGCTCTGCAACTCCCAAGTTGACCACCCCCAAACAACATGTTTTTTAAACCAAGCGCAACTGGCAGCCAATGACAGCCAGGGCACCGGCCTTCGGAATACACTTCCGGTTTCGAGAATCCGTGTGCTCCTGCAGTTCTGCGAGTTGTTCAATGAGTTCCGCGGTGACCTTCCGCACCATCAAGCCCACGTCGCCTTGCCGAGGAACACCGGTCTGACGCAGCGACCATGACGTGGTTTCGGAGCGGAAGAAGTGGGACCCGCAGAATTTGGTGGCCATTTGGGATGGTTTTGGATGCTTTTGGGTGGAAAGGACTTGGATGGAATTGGTAGCACAGGTCCTTTTTGGAAGAGTTGAGCCTTTGCTGAATGTTGCTTATAGGATGCATTAGGTCTGAAGGGATGTTTTGAGATGTTCTTGGCGCAAGTGAGGAAGACAAGCACGTTGAGACATCGATGGAACATGTTCATGCATCTTGTAAAAACCAACATTTGGTTCCACTTCGGAAACCAACTCATGACTTCCAACCGGTAGATTCTCTGAACATATAGCACATCCAATTAGACTTCACCACTTCTCGCGGTCTTTGATGAAGGAATTCATGGGAATGATTGGGAATGAACATGGGTTAACTGCATGATGAAAGCAACTGCCATGCCAAAGACTAACCATTCATCATCCAACTGACCATCCTTTTGGTTTGGATCTCATTGGATGTCGTGGACTTGTCCAAACCCAATTAGGACCCATTCATTGGACGGTTCGAACTGATGGTTCCCAGTGGGTCATTACACGATGGATGGTGAAAGGACCCTCCACAAGTCTGAAGTGAAAACCAACTTACAAAAAGCTATCTGTAGAATCTGTTGTCTTGAAGTTTTTTTGTGGACGAAATGGACCATTAAATCGACCTGTGCCGTTTGAGTTTGCCCGACTGTTCCCATCGAAAGCTCCCTCCAGCAACAGTTTCTGACATTGGTACCAGATCATAGGCCGTAGGATGGCGTTGCTCAACTCTTTGACTGACCCCACTCCATCCAAATCGCCCCATCTTCCACCTCGGCCCCACCCATTTTCTGGTTGGTGGTGTCAACTCCCAAGTAAAGGTGGGGTCATCACAAGTAAAGCTGGCTCATCAATGTGTGTATGAGCCACTGCAAATCAATCATCCCCAAGTAAAGGTTGAACATCCAAATCCTCCAACTTCGTGCGGATGTCTTTCTGTCCAGCGGCGGGTGCGACTGGGGATCAACGTGAGGTCACGAAATAGCTCGCCACAGCCACCTGTGAGGACGGAGCGGAACTCGATGTTCAACACAGGATGAACCAATGGCATGCTGGAAATAGCTGCGACAGGACATCTTGAATCTGACTGATCCGATTTGCTAGAAATCAGGACCAAATCTCAAGTGAATCTAGATTAGATCCTGTTTGATTCAAGGGTCACTCACGTCCGGTGCATAGCTGCAAGCATTTCGACTTGGTGCTGAGAAGGATCTCAAAGGAATTTTGACTTCGTGTGGCCCTGGTGGTCGATGATTTGAATACATGTGATGCAGCCGTGATGCATCAGTTTCTTCAAAGAGGACGACGACCCCGAAAAGGGGAATGCACTCTTGAAAAAAGATCAGAATCTGTTACTCATTCTGTTGTCTTTAGCCCATCTACTGAGGGATTGCAAGGCTTGCAGGCTCCAAGTCATAGCTTCTAAGACGGAGGCCATGGTCCATTGGTTTTCTGTCCCCCCAAAAAGGGCACCAGCCTGGTTCCGGCCCCCAAGCTGCTAAGCAAGCTCGTCCCCCAAATCCTCGGGCCCCCCGGCCTTCAGGGAGCTGTTCCAGCAAGTCCTCCCGGGTGAGCTTCACAAAGCGCCCCACATCCTTCGCGCGACGCGAGTTCCGCGAGTTCCGCGGCTGCTGCCTGCGGGGCTCAGCAGTGCGGCTGAGCGGGGGGCGCTGCTGAGCCGAAGCAATTGGTTTGAGCGTGGTTGGGGTCTGACGGCGCTGGTGGGAGGTTCACATGGGCCGTGTGTTGAAGGGGCTTCACAGCACGTCTCGTGAGTTGGTTCAAACATGTTCCTCCTCTTACTCTGACCTTTTCACCATCGCAGTCCTGCAAGCCTAGGAAGTCTTGATCATCATGCTGCAACCACCTGAGACCGAAGGTCCGATCCCATCCGATCCGATCCGGACTGCCGCGCCGTTGTATGGAGCCACGGGACGGACGTCTGCGTGTGCAAGACGAGCGAAGAGCGAGTGATTTGCTTCTTGGGTGATTTTTGCAGCGTGTACCCTGATGCAACTCGATCTGGCTGGATGCAAAGCATGAAAGGCAGAACGGCAAATGTTTGAACAAATAATATAATGTTCGTAACTTGACATATTAATTAAGACAAGTTGCAAAACAATATATAATAGCAAACGGAAATGCAACTTAGGTGCAACCTCTTCACCTCCTTCTCGCAGGCAGTGTCGCCATGCGTTGCCTTCGACGTGCCGCCTTTTTCAGGGTTGGACCTGTCTCAAGTCACCAAAACTGCAAGGAATATCTTCTTCGACGGCAAGCATGTGGTATTTTCATGCATTTTCTTGTTGTCTAATCAAGGTTTCCACGACTTAACCATAGGTATGGCAAACGATACCAAGCCAACGACTTGGTAGCAGGACTAGCTAAAGGATTTTGCAACATGAAACGACTAAGTGACGCAAGCCAAGCTCATTTTTCTGTCAAAGGCAGCCTTTCTCAATAAAGGCTTGGTTAGAGTATGTTCTTGCTACTGAGCCTAGAGACATTGATTGAGAAGGTAGCTGATAGGAAATGCGGGCCTCACGGCCCACATGAAAGACAGCTACACCTCTCATCTCTTCAGGAGATAAGGTTGAACATCATGTCCCTAGAGACAAATATGCTTTCTGTTATTGAGCCAAAGTGACACACCCTCTCTTCCAAAGCCCCTCTCTCCCTCTCGCTGTTCTCTTCCGCCCAGCCACAGGTGCGGTCGCTTCACTTCCGCAAAAAGATCCTGCAGCGGTGTGCGGAGCGAAGCGGATACCAAAAGGACAAGCAGCGAAAGCGGTCAACATCCAAGCGACATAAAAAAAAAATAGATGTGGCTGAAGTCCAGTGTTCATATGGATATTGTATAATTAGGATCTTCAATGTAAAACAATGCCATACAGGATCATCCAGGTAGAATATCCAGCTTGCTTTCTGATTGCCCAAGTTGTCTTCTCACTCTCTGGTCCAGCGGCACACAACACCCATGAGTGACTCAGCTGTTCACAGATTGGAGCCGCATCCACGTCCACTCCCATGTGGCTCTGAGTCAAAACCCCCAAAACCACAGGTTATACATGGTCATACCATGGTCATACCATGTTTGTGGTCGCTGAGGTTTGGTTCCCCTGGATTCAGACCAAGGCATCGGCATTCAAACCATGTCCTGGTTTACCTGCCATGTGTGACCCGGTCTCCAACGGATCTGCCTGGACTCCGGGGCCGCGGAGCACCGGCGGCAAGAGCTCCCTCACCTGGCCGCTTCGTGCTCCGTGTTCGGGGAAGACGGCCAGAATCCAAACACCTGAGGTACGACTGGAGCCCTAGAACAAAGATCTGGGTGTGAGCCCGATTCCTCCCGCACCCCAGCGAGACATCCTAGACCCCACAAAAGATGTATTTTTTCTGGTGGGGGCAATTTTCAGGCGAAGCTCAAAAAACCCACACAACAAACAGTTTTGGTGTCGATTTTTGTTACTTCTGCGGTGTTTTTTGTCACTTCTGCATCATTTTGGCGTCATGTTTTCTAGCGAATTTGCTGCATGTTTCTGCGTCATGTTTTCTGGCGAGACGGAAAAAAAGGACATCGTTTCAGGGTCCAGGTATATATACATGGGTTTCAAAAGAAGAACCTCGCTGAAGTGGATTCCAGTGGCCCGAAGGCTTCAGGGCCCGAATGGCGCATTCGCCGGTTCACCGAACTGTCCACCTGTTGGAAGTGTTAAAGGCTATCCACTGATCCTAGGAATCTGTAGCTGAAGCTACTATAGGTGGAGGCCACCACGAAGGTGGAGGCCATTCCTATTAGGTTCCTTTTGCTAGTAACAAGAAGCTATCAAGTTGCTTCCGATTACGATTTCTCAGTCCCCCACTGAAACATCTCTCCTGGCACTTCATGGAGTGCGGCTTTGGAGTGACCCGACCCGCCCAACGCGCCATGTTTCAGCTGAAACCTCCTGTGGCTGGGATACATGAAGGAGAGTTCCCGTTTCGTCCCCGTTCCGTCGCCGGTCCACTGCAGTTCCATCAACACCGCCGTCTCCGGTCGGTCGCCCCAACCAACGCCCGAGCTGCCACGTCGAGACAGGCGAGGCGGCCTGATTTGGGGTGATCTCAGAGATGCGGACGACCTGCTCCTCCTCGTCCTTGTCCTGGGATGAAGACGGATGAAGAAGGAGGTCTATCTTGGGTCAGAGTGAAGCACTGCTTCCTTTGTTGGAATCCATGAAACCATATGGCAAAACATGGAAACAATGCAAATTGGAAAGACGACTCTTGGCAAAACGATGTCATGCATATCATATCATCGTGTTCAAAGGACAAGCAATGTCATTCATCCAAGTGTATGTCAGGATTCACCCACCGTGAAAGCAATCCGCAAACATCCTGGGATATTCCCATACAAGGACCGCAAAATGGCTTGCAATTGTTGCGCCAAGCGCGACCACATGCAATCAAATGCTTTGCTTCAGGGGTACCGCCGGGCTAGTAGTGCATCCTTAGCGCACCTGCGGCTTACTCTTCCAAGTGTTTTAGTGTTCCCAACAAAATACAACGGGCACATCTATTACGATCACCACTGGGATTCGCTCCAGGAACCGGACAAACCATTCACCAAGACTGGAGCACCGGTTTCGTCCTCCACTTCGGCACCGACTTTGGGTAGTGGCCTGGATCCAGCGCCACGTAAAAGAAACGTCACACCCCGTGACAAACGTGACAAAAAGACCACGATACGGAATGAAACACCGAAGGGTTGTATAACAGTTTAATTTTGTTTTTGAGAAGTTGATATAGGTTGAGAAGATGTTCAAAGAAGATGTTCAACTTGACAGTCTTTCTGATTCTGTTGACAGCAGCTGGCTGGTTCTGGGACCAAAGCTCCTGGCGAGGACCTGAAGGAGCAGACTGCTTAACATGTAGTTGTTTGCCCTGCAATGAATTATATAATATATATATGATGTTGCCTGAATACTCTGAATTGTCAAGTGAATCATGGCAACATCATAGACCAAAACATTCGAACCTACCTACCCCAGAACAAAGACACCAATCAAACACCAATGACTCCAAAAAAAAACAACAACAACAAACGTAGAAGCTTTGGGGAGTCCATATTCTTAAAATAGTCTTTCGGTGACCCCAAAGGGCATGTCCTTTACTTGGGTGTTCCCCAAAATACTCTTTGGACTTCGTGACCATGTTGATATAATTCAAATCACAAGTCCTTTTCACCCACACCACACCCCTCTCACACCCCTCTCACAACCCTCCCGGGTGTGACCGATGCCTTGGGAGATCCAAGTGCCGCGGCGACCAAGGCCGCCGGAACGGCAGCGCCGCAAAGCGCCGCCGGAACGTCCACGGCAGCGTGACCCGCAGCGCCCGCAGCGTCATCCCATGGCGGTGGCGCGTGGGGCTCCGCGCGCGGAGCGGCGCGCGTGGGGGGAGGGCGGGAGAGAGGTCTTTTCTGGGTCTTAAGTCTTAAGGCTGGGGATGGTTGGATGATTGATTTGAAGTGAAAAAAGAACATGTGAAAAGAATAACTATACTGGAAATTGAATCTTGAATAGGTGAAACAGGTGCAGTCCTATTTGCTTCTATAGCTCTTGTTGGGGTAAAGGTTGGGTAGATCTCCAAGCTGTCGTGTGAAAAAAGATCGAACCCACATACTACACCGATGATCACCTCAAGCTTGAGCCAGCTTGAGCTGCTGAATGGAAGCCATCACCTCATCACCTCAAGTCCGCCCTGCCCTACGATCACCTCCGCATCAGCAAACCCTGCTGGATGCAGTCTCTCATCCGCCCGCCTTTGATGCCTGTCCCTGCTTTCACAAAAAAGCTGTAAATATATACGGCTTGAAATCGTGGTGAATTTTCTTGGAGGCTGTGTCACCAGCAGTGACGCCATGATTACGATCTTCATGTTCTTTCCTCACGGCTACAGGATCTTCACATATCCCAATGGGCCGTGGGTCAACGCACTAAGTTCTTTAGTAACGCACCAGTTTAACAGCAGAGTTCCACCGCGTTCCAACGCCCGACTCACCTCAGATCCACTGCAGAGTTCCGGCGACCGGTCCTCGTCGGTCTCCCCATATTTACTGCGACGCTCCGAGTGGCCGATGAGGGTGTAGCCCACCTGGCTGGCGCGGAAAGGAAGGGCTGGAGGGGGCGAAAAAACAAGCCATGAACAGCCGGGGTGGTGGATGAATGAACTGTAGAATCCCTCAGTTTCCATGGAACAAAAACAACAAACAACTGTGTTTCATCTTTTGTCCATCTGTTTTTGTTAAGTGGGGAAACCCAATCCCCACGCAAACATGGCTTATCATGGCTTATCCACTTCTCATGGGTCGACCCTGTGTTCAACACCTGCTCGACGAATAGGCTGAGGCAGAGGAAGGTGTTGCTTCTCTCAATCCTCCCGGAGCGATGCTCAGGACACCTTCAATAGCGCCAAGAACACCATCCTCATTGGGAGTACTCAGGAGGCCCTTGTGTTCAAGCTACGCATGTCTGTTCTGGCGCCTGGAACGACTAACCACTCGTGTACTGTATAGTACAGCGTGCATCCACTGCGCTGCATTCTGAACCCAACCTGTATTAGAAACAATAATCTACTAGTAACAAGTGCATCGCTTCTAGTAACAAGTGCCTTACTAGTAGTAACAAGAAGCTATTAGAAACAATTGCTGTCTTACCTCTTAGCGTTCTCCGCCTGGAACGACCACCCAACGGGACCCAACCCACGACTGCCGCCTCCATGTCTTGCAGGTGCGATGCCTGAGACGCGCGTCTCGCGGCGATGCCCACGCGATGCCCACGCGACGGTTCTATGCTTCACTGTCTTCGGGGGGGGAGGGGGAAAGGCTCAACCTGGGGGGAATGAAAGAGGTTGGATGTTCAGGGAGAATTCGATGAGCTTTTTGTGCCTTTTGGGTGTTCTGAAAGACTTCTAACAGGTGTTGACCCCACTCTGAGACAACTAGGAATTCCCACTTTTCACCAACGTCTCGTGCACTAGAAGCAAGCGGCTCAGGAAACAACTATCTGTGTCTTGACCGTGTTTCCAAACATGGCAACTCAAAGCAAGGAAACTCAAACCGAGGAAAACACGCCAACCCAAACCCTCCATGGAACTGGCATACTTGCCGATCAGTTGAGGTAGTTGAAAAGGGGTCAATGTTGATAGGTAAATATGTTAGTCCCATGGAGTGACTGACTCCACAAGCTAAGGCCCCTGGCAGTCCACTCACCAGTGAATGCACCCATATCGTTCTTGCCCACATTCTGGGAGCAAACCTGCCAGCGTCGAACACCAATGCCGCACTCAAAGAGAGGCCCAACACAGCCTTGCCTGGATTTCCATCTAAGATACATCTCCCTGGGAGTCTCAGACCTGTTTAAAATGCTTTTGGTGACCCGAAACCCTAAGGGAATTTCCTTTACTTCGGTGGTGCCAAACGTCTTTGTGACTTCTAGGGGCTCTCCTATTACTTCTGATTCGATCCCATTTGGAAAGGCGCTGGGGGGTCGTCCGGATATGAAGAACTCAAATGGGCAGGACAATATAATGACACATCATGAAACTATATACAGACTTGTCCGATTGACGCGCAATTGATTTCATGGGCGTTTCCGAAGAACCATCGATTTACTGAGGTTTCTAAACACTGGGTCAACCTACGTCTAATTGTCTTTGAAAGCTATAGGGAGCTTGCGTTCCTCCACTCTTATGTTGTTTAAGAGCAAACGACCCCCAAACGTGTACCCACACATGTGTAGCCCTGAAAATGGGGCCAGCATTGACGAACTTGAGAGAATCCACCCCACAGACTTTACACGTCTCGGGCTGTCGACCAGTGGTTCAGTATGAATAGCATCCAGTCATGAAAAGGGTCTAATGTGCTGGAAGTCAAAGCCCGGCACAATAGTTTAAATATCATGCAGTCATGCAAGCTATTTGTTTAATATAGTGTTATATATCTTTTTAACTCACGTGGACCCCCTGCTCTCTGTGCGCAAAAGCAAAAACCTTTGCTTTGGTTCCTCTCACTGGTTCCTCCACGTTCACTGGTTCCATGCGCCGCCTGCATGCCCAGGCCCTCCAGGGGAGACTTGACGTGACCTGCCAACCGAAAAGCGGCTCGATCGCGGCTTTTCCTGACAGGGCGTCCAAAACCGACCGCGGCCGAACACGGTGCTTCGGTTTACACCAAACAAAAACCGACCAGCAACAGGACATCCACCTTTATAACACTGTGGTGTTCTTTTTCTATTTCCGCCGTGTTCTTTTGGAAGCATGTGGGCTGCCCGGCAAACCGACCTCAAACGCTCCATGGGGCTGGTGGTTGTTGGGTGGTTTGCATGTAGGCTATCTTTGCACCAACATGGAGCGTCTGGAGACCATTTTGACTGAATTCCCAGACGCTCCATGAGACTGGAAGATTTATACAGTACTCCTATTGACATCTATTGACCAAATAGCGAGAAAGTCAAAAAGTCCTACATTGACCCCTGAAACCCCAACTGATCATAACTGATCAGCAAATATGCCCGTCCCATTCGTCGCGTGCTGAAAAAATACCTTTCTGGTTGGTGGTTTCAAGTCACTTGAAACCTATTAGACAGTGCGCATTTAGAACTAAATACTGAATACAAAAAAATAACACTTAATCAATTCTCTTGTCCCATCACTCCGATGCATTTTTTTTGTACAGCAATGTAGAGCATCAACATTTCTGAACATGACGAACATCAAGTAGAACAAACACATTTCAAGTGACGGTCGCCAACCACCACCAAACCTTTTGCTTCGTCCTTCCCACCGGTCTCCCCCGGCCGAGGTGAAGGGCCGTGGGCGCGATGACCACCTCCACCTTCTCCTGACGGTCGTGGTCGCAAGCGCTGCGGTGCGCGTGTGCGGTGGAGGTGAACTGGCCAAGAACTTGAGGTTTGGAGTACCTGGACCATCCTGGACCCCAGGGTGTCCGTTGGAGATCCCGGAGAGCAGTGCAGGGTAGTGCCAGGATACCCAGAAATGATTGAGGTTAAGCCCCAATTGATACTGTACTATCAGAGGCCATTTGATGGCTGATCTGCTTCCGTCACAAAGCTGAGATGCATTGTTTCGGATGCTATCAGGCTGTGTTTGTGGAGCTTGACAGCACATTGGCGCATTTTTTGTGCAGCTTCGTATAGAACATCATAGAACGGCCAGATCGGGCCGTCCAAAGGAAGACCAGGCCATACCTCCAATTCTGTGGACAGCCTGGGCTGCCTGGGCCGCACAAGCCACATGTTTCGGTGCGGATATAAGAAACAAAAACAACAACAGTCATCATAGAAGATATGAGAAGCCTTCAAAATTGTATTCCTCTACGAGGGAGTGAAAAATGACGGGAACAGCCAAAAGTATGGTCCAATGGTGTGATCGTCTGTGTTTGATGGAAAAAACACAGAACAACAGCCACCAATTTAACATAATGCAATCCAGGAGTCACAAAGGGGAATAGGGGTGCCCAGAACATCCACTCACTTAGGGACTAAAAACCACCCCTTTGTGACTCCTGGATGTTACTGTACATGTTTTAACCAAAGGATCCAGTATTGCGTTCCATCCAGGCCTTGCCACACCCTGCCGGACTTTTGTTTTGCAACAAAGCATTCACGCGTCGTTCGTACCTTGTCGAAGGCCTTCTCCTTCCAGGCAGCGAGCAACGCCTGAAGCGAAAACTGGGGCTGTTTGGAGCGTAGACGCGTGGAACATACATCTCCGTATGCGGCAAAAAAGAATCACGTCCGCGTATGCGGTACGGCATAAGCTTCAAGATCCTGGAAATGCAGCAAATTCCAACCAAAGGCTGCTGGGCTGAATGTAAATGGCACAATCTCAATCAATTTTTATGCACCATGCAGTCATAGATGCTACACAAAGCACACACACAAAATAATAACGGACTTATCTTGATGCTCAAAAACGCGGCTCTTCTAGCGATGTTGCTCCACATAGTCATGGTTCGCATTCCAGACTTTCCATCACGTTATATCACAAGGACCACCCCAAACCGATGGACACCCTTAGCACCCCCAAAAACCTCCGCGATAGCCGCTGCCGGTTCGACCCGCAGGTCGTGCCGGTTCGACCGCGGCCGCGCCTTGGCGTCGGCCAACTTCGCGGGATTGCACTTCCAATTGCCACCGACGATGGGCCTTTCGACCGACACGAGACGCGTCGAGGTGGACGTCGGTCGGCAACCAGAACGAGGAGACCATGGAAGCTCCCAATAATTAGGAGAGCGATCATCGTGATCCTTCCACTTTGGAGCGGAGTCTGAATCCGGCAAGTGTAGCCTCTGCTCCAAGACTCCCAAACCTTGGATGAATCTGATAACACGCACACTTTCTGAGCCATACATATTATATACCCCAAATTCGGGACCCGTCAGAAAAAAAGAGCATCAAGAAGCCATATCCCAAACATTCCCAAGCACTCCATGAGGCTGGAATACTTCCAACATCTTCCAACTGATCAGCAAATATGCTAGCCCCATTAGTATCCACTAGTCATGTCATGGGTGTTACAAACTCAGCACCTGAGCACACCTCATTGAATCGGATTCGGAGCTTGATTCCGGGCTGCCGGGCTTGCGAGACATGATGCCTGAGCGGCCGATCGGACGGGCACCGGCAGATCGCACAGGCCCTCCGCGATGGAAGGGTTCTAGTGATGGACCGCTTGGGGGGTTGGGGGTTGAGGTTCATCCCCATTCCCATCAGTCGGGAACTCGGCCTCCATGTTCCGATAGGAAGATGGATATCACCCCCCATAGATGGTCGGCGACCCCAGCCCTGGCCGGTAAAGCCTCTCGCGCTCCCGGACTCGGGCTCGGAGACGCTCCCCTCGCGAAACAAAGGGTGAGGACCAGTCCCTTGAAGGATCTATGATGATCCCATGAGTCAGTTGATGCATCCATGGACGGATACTGAAACGAATCTAGTCATGGCCTCAATATACCCTAAGGGTTGAGGACCATCTGACCATCCTGAGGATGTCCTTTGACCCCCCAAGACCATTCTCTGGAAGTACTTTCACCTCCAAGACCATCCTCAGGAGGTACCTGCACTCTATGGGATAGGAATCAGGTCATGGAACTTTAAGTGGATTGCCGGATTGCCAGATCTGCAGGGGTGCAGCGTGGGCAATCCTACTCCTGTGGGCCCTGTTGGATTGAGAAACCTTACACCATTTTGAACACCCGCCACAAAGAGAAAATAGCAACTTCAGGCCCTTCGCGCACTGCAAACACAGATCTTCAAGGAGGATGGGTCCCAAAGCTGCCTTTGGCGCTATGACACCCGACGCGAGGCTGTCTGTTTCGGCCTCTGTCAGCCGAAACCAAACCACGTCCGTCTCCACGAAGAGTCGAGGTTCCGGGCTGAAAATCGACCGGGCGAAAGTCTGAAAAATGGCGGAACTCTGTGGGCTGAGCCGGTGCCGCGGTGTGCTTACGTGAGACAAAACAATATACGGGTAGCACCGGGTGAGACGGGTCTGTGGCGAGAAGCGTGTCTGGAGTTTCCCCAAGTCGAAATATGTCAATTTGAAAGCACCGAAATGATATCCTTGGTCAGGAACTATCACCAAGTCAAGTCTAGATTCTCTACATTGTCCTCTTTTCCGCGGTCTGCGTTTTCACCCCGCAAACCACTCGACCCATTTGGAGCCCATCGAGCTTTCCTTAAACATGGTCGTCTTGCATTGCAGGAGCAAGTCCTCAAAACGAGCAAAACAGATAGTAGGTAGACGGTCGGAACACTTTGTTTGAGTGCATCTTAAAGGCTTGAGGTTTCTCCCTCCCACCATCTCCCCGGCAAATCGCGCGGCGTTTTCCACCCACACAGGGCATCTCCACATCAGCGTCGATGCGCGGCTCCTGGCCAAATTTTCGAATGCCCACGAGATTGAGATGGAGGTTCACATGTTCACCTAACTGAGACCCTACAAGTCCAGTCCGACCCAAAAAAAGACCTGGTCTTTTGCCTCTTTACAAGTCGTGTTTTTGTATGACCAACTCCAGTGTTTCATGAACTCTTTGACTTAGGGAGGCTCTTCTCTTCATGCTCCGGATCTGCACCTGGAGTTCCTTTCACGTTCTTGGATCTTGATTTGTGGGTTGTAGCTTGGATGGTTCGGATTCATGGCATTGGAGCGCCTATTGGCAGCCGCAGTAGGCACATTGCCTTTCTTGCCCATACTTCAACTGAACACGCTTCTCTTGTTTTGGTCAATCTTTGAGCCTAAACAGCATAGTAGAAGTGGAACGGACACTATTCTCCAATCACATGATCCATGATAAATACTGTGATGACCTGGACCTGGATGTCTTCTGCACCAACTTGTCATTGACAATCAGACTATCATAAAGGAACATATGATCCAACACCATCTAAAACTTGCAACTCTTCTGTCAGTCTCTAATTAAGCGGTGTGCCCCAAATTTGTTTCACCCCAAAGACCCCAGAACCTTCTTTGAACATTTTGAAAACCCAACTGAAAAATGTGGAAGGGTACTTGCAACTAAGGCAGAGTCACAATGATAGACAATGAACAACAACAACAACAACAACAACAGTAAACAAACGACAAAACACCCTGATCACTTCTAACAACCTTGACCTGGCAGGGGGAAAAAAGAGATCTTCCAAGTACCTCCTGAAACCCTTCGACTCGAACCCGGCGGTCCGGAGCGAGTCCGGCGAGTCCGGAGACGCCTTCGCGTCAGGTGCCGTGGCGCTTGAAGGTCTCCAAGGGCGGGAAACGCTTCTCCGCCTGGCGCAGGCGACGCCGCAGGCGACGCCGCAGGCGGAAAGCACGGGGCACGCCAACCAGGGAGTGCTTCTCCCCGGATTCTGACTAGTGCTTAGCAGGGAATGAGGGAATGGATGCAATGGAATCTCTATATTGGGGGCTCATTCCCTTATTCCCTACTAAGCACCAGTCAAGATTTGAGGGATGATGTTGAGTGATTTTGACATGGGCCGAGTGGAAGAGGTGAACCGCGCTTTGTATCTTGGAACGCGCTGAAAGCTGTGAAGAGGGTTCTGATGGAAAGCTATGATTTGCCTGAATTAGTGTCCATGTGACACATGCAAGTGCGTGGGGTGTGTCTTGGTACGGCTTCAAATCCACTGCAAGCTCTATCAAACGAATTTCCTGGATTCACTAAAAAACAAGTGTTCATGAACATGACCTATAGCAAGAAGGTCATTAGAAACGACCGGTGTTTTTTCATTGTCGCGTGGGCCGATGGTATGGTCTACGGAAGAAGTATAAGCAGCTAACATAACGACCCAATTCCTGGATACAGTCTGACATGCAAGTCTTCCGTTTTCGCACCAGTGTTCAGTGTTGCTTGGCCAGCTTGGCATGACGTCGGGTCTCTTCTTCTTTTGGGGTCCCATCCATTTCTGGTGCCAAAAATATCAAAGAATGATGGAGTCCCATCACCTGCAAACCTGGGTCAAACGGAGCACATCCACGACCCTGGAGCCTACAACGACTGTCGTGTGTCACGAAGATCCCAGAACCCTGAGAACGTTCAAAAACGACCAAGGGAAAAGACCCGGGCTATTTCTACGGGTTTAGACTTAGCGTCCAGATTTCCATGGTCTGAAGGGCTTTTTAGCCATGAAGGATAGATATGGATAGATCGCATGCGGCCCGCCTTGACCTCATCCGAGAGGGCCAGAATCAGCCTCGAGGAGAGCAAAGGTCATTAGCGTTTCGGTGCTTTTCTACACACAGCTGATTTTGCCAAGAGGGATAAAACAACTAGGTGAAAGCACATGGCACCAGCCTCCCCACGAGCTCCTCCTTTGCTGGATCAGCGGAAAGAACTGCCAAGGCCACTTAGGAAATGGATGGAATTAGTTATCCAGAATAGTGCGCTTGCGACTGTATAGCGTAAAGGGTTGATCGACCCATATTTGCACTGGAGATTGCAACATACATCTTCAACTGCGCCTGCTATAGATATAAAACCTAACATATAGACATAGATGTGACATACATAGACTGTCATAGACTTACCTTCTTCAGTTTGCTAGATTTTGTGGATCAAACGCAGGGATTCCAAGAGATCCGTAGCCATGGCAGCAAAGGGTACCCTAGGGCTCCAACCATGTCCGACATGAAGGTAGTTGGAGCCCTAGGCCTAGGAGTGGATCTGCTTTAGAGGTGCAACAGGCACTCAAATACACTGAGTGATGTAATGAAACATGACCACTTGAATTCGTAGGAATCTCATGGTCATACAGTACCCGAATGGTTTTTCGAAGAGTAAACGAATGGTGAAACCTTTCTTATTTATCTTCCTTTCCTAAGAAAAGATAACAAAAACACAAATCAATTCTGCTCCACTTGGTTCCAATATCTCGATTCTACCCTCATTCATCATCCCTTCATCCCTTCACGTCCTCCTGCGTCAACCGCCCCTCCCCTTCAGCTTCCCGACTGCACCGCTGGCTCTGGCGCTGGCTCCGCCTGTGACGGCCAACGGGCCCGGAACTGACCGGAACTCGCCGTCGCTCCGCCCCAATGGTCCAAATGGCCGACGGGCTACTGCTCCTACCTCCACTGCAAGTATTTGTTGCTTTGGTGCTTGGGGTAGGTGCTGGTGGAAAATCAGTCCTTCACCTACCCGGGACATGTGCCTTCATTCCCCAAACACATAGACCGTAGACCCTAGGCCCTATACGCACCATGATCCAGTCTGTCACTTCGTCACAGCACTGTAACACGGTTGGTCAATGACCCTGCAAGCATTGTAGGTTATGTCCGCAACACGCTCCGCAGTCTACGTATGGAATCCAGGAGTCCTTGACATGAAGGAATTTGCCAAATCTTGTTTGCCACAAAACGCTGCTCTTGGTAGGTTCGCACTTGTGCCAAATGACACCCAATGACTAGACTAGAACCAGAACCCTGATAGAATATTAATTTTTCATATATGCCTCCATGCACACCTGAAAACAGAACCACCCCAATCTAGGTATATTGTTGTAGATGCCGTACATGGAGTGCCTGCAAAATTCATGTTCTGGCAACCTACTTGTGTTCTCCGATGTTCCAAACAACCGAGCTTCGCCGGACTCGCGTACACCGCCTGCATCAAAGAACTCGCCAGACGAGGCGTGAAGTCGATGGGCCAGCCTCTGCCGATCGACGAGCACATGGATGGCAATGGAAGCGCAATTCTAGGCAGAATTGCAGGGATTCCTGATCTTGAATCTTGATATAGCGATGTGGCTCCACAATTGTTTAGGCGCAGGGACCCGCAGGTGCTTCCGAATACGCTTCCATATACCAGTGGGTACACCCTATTTTTGAGCCACGAGTGAGTGGAACGTGTATCTCAAGCTTCCCTACAAACATGCTTGGAACGCCGCTCTGTGTAAATTCATGTTTTTTAGACATGCAAATCCATCAGACACTCCATAAAAATGAATCTTTACCTACATTGACCCCTGAAACGACCCCACAGTATTTTGAGCGGCGCCTCCATGTCGCAGCGCCAATTGGGAGAAGAATGCCAGCACCTGAGTTTCTCCAATCCGTCAGCGCAAACCCGCGGTCATCGCCGCGGTCATCGCCGCGGTCATCGCACGCGCTCGAGATGGGGTTTTCCATCGAGGCGCCAGTAGGGAACAGGGAACAGGACCGATCGATCAACGAAGATAAAAGCCAAAAGCAATGAGCAAGAGTCCAACATAAATCTATATACCTCATGAACCATGAAATCAAAAAACATTAGAAGTTGCAAGAAGCTCCATCCAGGCGATCTTCCATCGCAATCTTGCAGGGTCTCAAAACATAGACCTTGGAGCCTGGAGGAGACAGCACCGAGAAAATTTCACTGGATGAGACTTAGCAGGGCTCTACCAGAAATACTGGTACATTCTAAATCGTAGTGCTGACTAGTGGTGATACACATGTCTAAATAGATTGTAGGATATATCATCGGAATACATAATGCACAATAGATCACAATAGTGATCGGTGTTTTCCACTTTCTACACTAGTTACACTGTTACACCCTCAAATGATTGCCGCAGAACACAGCCACTCCTCGCGGCCAAGGAGCTGTCAGCAGCACCACCCGACTGAGCTCAGGCCTTGGAGGAAAAGAACACGTCAACAACTATAACACTGGTGATCAAGCTTGTCAATGTTGGAACGTTGCACCGAATTGGTGTCTGTGTGGTCATGTGCGCTGTGGCACTGGCTGTGGCAGTGACCCAGTCAGGTCAAACGAAAAAAGGATTTGGACATGCCAACGGATTGAAGCAAGCCGGTCACTAGAACGGTCAATCTTGTTCTTTTAGCTTGGCTTTGTTCACATCCCCAGGGTCCCCAGGCCAAATCCGTTTCTTTTTTTTAGGTTAGGGAATGTGAAGCTCCCATGCTTCAACATGGGGAGCTTTTGACTCACAGCCAACTTGGCTGAGCCAAGTGACACCTAGCGGCACCCGCAAAACAAAACAAAACACATGTCCAAATGGATTCTGAGAGCCTCATGAAGTAAATGATCCTTCCTCCATGAAAAGAATCTGGATGTGCTGTGCAGCCAACATTTTCCGAGGGGTAACATTGGTAGTTCTATTGACCCACACACCCACACACACAATCTAAATGTCTATGACTGCCCGAGGACTTCCAATGACTCGGTAAAATGAGTCATTTGGTATTGGAAGGCATACCTTCCAATCCAAAAAGGATCACAGGTCCCTTCTGACCCTTAGTACGCAACCCAAATTTCAGATCGTTCATCATCGAATACCAAACCCCGTCTGTGGCGCGCCACAAACTTCGCAGCGTGGAGGAGATCTTCTTGGCATCGCCCGCCGCATCCTGCGGCGGAGACCCGCCCCGCGCGGGAACCGCGGGAATCCTCGCGACGTCCGGCCTGCAGGTGTGGACCGGCGGTAGGGGAACCCGCAGAGAAGAGGGTAGGGATTGATTCCTATACAGGAGTCCTGCGTGCAGTGCAGAGGTCTTTCTCATGTCACACCGTGGTTTTGGGTGAAAACCCGGATGTTCATGCCTGCACTAGGATGGCCGGCAGCAATGGCGTGGGTAAGACCTGGCGTTTCGCGCGCATGCTGTCTGAGGAGCCAAAAGCATTCGAAAGGATGTTGCAAACCTCATTGTTGGAGGTGGAAAGTGATGGACATGGGCGGACATGGGATGGATAGGTGACTGATATGGGTGCCTGATATATGACAACTACAACTTTCAAGCAGGTCGCTCAAGTCCAAAGCAGTTTCTTAAACCGAACAAAGTACTAAATGCCTAGGCCCTAGGCTTGATATTATATATATATATATATTTATATATCTTATATATCCTTAACGTATCAGGTCGGCCTGGAGTTTCCCAACAAGTCAGATCCAGCTGTTGACAGCTCACCTAGGTAAAAGCTCGATTTCACCCATTGGAGTCGTCACACACACAAAGAAATCACGTGATTGTTCCCAAAGGAAGACGTGCATAGATCATCATAGATCCTGCCAAAATGGCAAACCATACGTCTAAAATAAAGCCAAAGAAGGTATTTGCTGGGTCCCAGTAGACTTCAAGTCCACACATGAGGTAGATTGGTTAAAGAGGTGCAAACCAAAAGCAAGTTCACTTCCCATCCGGGAGTCCGACTGGATGAGCCAGGTATGGCCAGAGGTTCCAAGACTATGCAACCTCCCGTGTCCATATATTTTGAAGGACAACTGTGCTGACGGCATTGCCTGCTCCAAAGACCATCTGTCAAGCTTAGTGTCTCATTAGCTTTGCTTGTCAGAAAACACTGATTGATATTCTATGGACGAGTAGCTGAGTGTGTGAGCCTATTCGCCCATGATGATCCCAGTTGAAACCAAAACGGTTTGAACAGTATTGAAGAAAAGCAAGTGAAGGCCTATAGCCTATGGCCTCATGGAACAACAAACAGATTTGTATGTCCCAACACAGTGGCAAACATGTATAAACCCACAGCGGCTTGAAAGTCCCAAGAGGTTCACGTCTATTAGCTATAAGCCATTAAGAACACACCTTGATCTTCCAAGCCAAGTCCACAAGCCAAGTCCAGATCCTCGCCAAATCCCCAGTGGTGACCCACATGCCCAGTCCGGAAACGGATGGACACCTCGAGGCACTTCAGCAAGAAGAGCGTCACGCTCAAGGGCGACCTCAACGCGGTCACGTGTGACTCACGCGGTCAGTCTCGGAGTCGCCCGACGGAAGCGAGATGAAAAAGGATGGAAAAGGACGGGAAAGATAATACAAAATAATACAAACAGTGGAAAGAGTAGATGGCACTGGCAGACTGGCAGAACTACGTGTCTTGTAGATGGTGGTCCACTGCTAAATCAGCTAACTTGTTGATTGTGCCGTCTACTCTCGATCTATTATACAAGATTACACTCGCCAATTCAGCCCCGGGCAATTGCAAGGTGTCCCTGGGGAAGGACCATCCATTCTCCACCTCAGCGCCGCTGAAGTAGAACGATCCGGCGGATGAGGTCCGTCATATGGAGTTCGGTAGCTTCCGGCTTATTATCCGTAACACACAGAAAGGAGCAGGATGGGGCAGGTCCAAGCCGGTCCTACTCCACGCAGGTCCAAGAAATCTCGGGAAGACTCGGTGAACTCTGAATGATCAGGACCTTAAAAGGACGTTTCGTCACCTCATCCTGGAATCGAAGAAGTTCGGCCAGATTGAAGGTCCAACGTAAGATGGAGTTAATTGATGTTAGGTCAACGTAAACATGTGGAAATCGCTGTTGCAGTATAGCCCTGATCTGCCTTCTCTGCGCCTCAAATCTAAGGACTTCGGCTAACACCCTCCGCGGCCCCTGGGAAGTGTCAATATCCGTCATCCCAAGAAATCGACGATTGCTGGGGTTATATAAGTTCACCGCATACCATGGCTGGTGGCCGGTGGCTGGGGTAGGTTCATTCGTTTTGGGTCGGGGCCGGCTTCGTCATGACATCTGGTGACACTTCTGTGACGTTGGAGTCCGTCAATTGGGTGCGCTCACTTCCGAGTCTTCTGAAAAGATCTCTTGAGTTCCTTCCATTCCCGATGATTTCCCCAAAATTGTAGCCCAAATATGCCGATATCACCGCATATCGCATGCTTACAAATCACATCCAATCCAAACCAAAATAGACCAGCCAAGATTTAACAACGTCTGAACCGCACATCTGAACCTTTAAATGATCTCCTAGCCAGCCTCGCCTACTTAAACTAACTAAACCATATATATATATATATTAATATCCCAAGCACTCCACGGGACTGGCATATTTACCTGCATTGACCCCAGAAACCACCACCCCTATGTATGTCAATATGGCCAGTCCAGTCCCATTGGTCTACAGACCTGGCACGGGGCCAAGTGGCATGGCGTTGGAGTTCTTTGAGCTCCGTGTCGCTCCTGCTGGACGCGCGACAGTGCAGCCGGTGCGACCGGTCGCTGTTAGCTCGCTTTTGGGAACGTGGATGTGTCGACAGAAGCGTGGAATCACAAGGCTTTGTAATTTGTTGATGCTTGAAAGGCTTGGATGTGTAAGGGGGCCCCAGATCCAAGAAGGGGCCCAGTCAGACACGGCAGCTGTAAGCGAGGGAAAGGATCTTGAGAGAGGAATTATAGGACCGGATAACCCCACATGCTCACAACTTCACCAGACACAGGAGCGGACAATTGGTGGTTGGTGGGTGACAATTGGTTGGTGGCAGTTTGTTGGTGGCAGTTGGTTGGTGGCAGTTTGTGGGTGGAAGTTTGTTGGTGGTAATTGGTTGGTGGCAATTGGTTGGTGGCAATTTCCTGGCGGCAATGGATTGGTGGCAATTGGTTGGTGGCAATTGGTTGGTGGCAGTTTGTTGGTGGCAATTGGTGGGTGGCAATTGGTTGATGACAACTGGTTGACGACAATTGGTTGATGACAATTGGTTGACGACAATTGGTTGATGACAGTTGGTTGGTGACAATTAGTTGGTGACAATTGGTTGGTGACAATTGGTTGGTGACACTTGGTTGGTGGCAGTTGGTTGGTGACAGCTGGTTGGCAGGTCTCTGCCCTTCTGGAATGATTATTTTTGAGGGCATGTTTTTTCTAAAAAACATGGTCCTCAACCAATTGTCATCAATCAATTGTCACGCCAGCCAATTGCCACCCACCAGTTGTTGTTGTTGTTGTTGTTGGCCCATCTTGGGCCCACGTTGGCCCATCTTGGCCCTATGTTGTGCCCTCTGGGGCCTATGTTGGGCCGCTCTTGGGCCTATGTTGGGCCATCTTGGGCCAATGTTAGGCCATCTTGGGGCTATGTTAACCCATCTTGGACCTATCTTGGGGGGCCGCTGTTGGGGTACATGTTGCGCCATTTGCGTTGACGCTGGCCCATCACTAAGAAACTTCCGATGACGCACGTCCGGGCGGCGCGCATTACCGACACCACCCTTGTAAAACCCACGGTTTTTGCATTTCGCCACTGTCCAAATTGTAGACCTTCCACGCCCACAAAACCCTGTAAAACACAGTGTTTTTTGAACACCTCGCGCGCAAATCACAGCGGAACAGCGGCGGAGAGCCAGCAGCCAGCCAGCGCCTCCCACCCCCCTGGAGAAGACAATTAGCAAGCAAATCATAATTGGTTGGCGACAATTCGTTGATGACAATTGGTTGGTGATTGATGACAATTGGTTGGTGGAAATTGGTTGGTGACATTTGGTTGCTGACAATTGGTTGATGAAATTCGTTGGTGGCAATTGGTTGGTGGAAATTGGTTGGTGACATTTGGTTGACGACAATTGGTTGTGGACAACTGGTTGTGTGACAAATGGTGGGTGGCAATTGGTTGATGACAAGTGGTGGGTAGCAATTGGTTGATGACAAGTGGTTGATGACAAGTGGTGGGCAACAATTGGTTGATGACAATTGGTTGCTGACAATTAGGGCAGTTGGTTGGTGCGGGAGGCGGGAGGAGGAGGAAGATGAGGAGAAAGGAGGAGCGGATACCACACTAATAACAAAAACGCCACACGTCAAAGTGAGGAAAAACACAAGAGAATTTTCCTGGAAACAAATATATAATGATATATATATATATTTCCTTTTTTGTTTTTCTATGCTGTGGGGACGTCTATCTTTTCCCGAATTATTATTCACTCTCCCAACCTTACAGACGCTTCCACACGCCAAGAGCAGGGGGGGTCATCTCGATGGGATTCATCAAAGCACGCAGATTGCGCAGCTTGGGAAGGGTGGCCACCAGATAGATATCAACCGTGTCTGTAGAATCCGTCGAGAATGCAAGATTCATCAAACACAAATCCATCATGGGTATGGTAGATCCGGCATCGCCTCTCACATCAGGCGCAAGGAATTGATAGAGCGGCATTGTCATACCGTTCGCGACTTGAAACCCTTGTAGGCAAATGCCTTGCATTTGGATCATCTCAACGGGATCAAACTTCCATGGTAGCAAAATATTCAAGCTGGCCAAGTACTCTCCACTCATTGCTATGAAGAAACTCAATGTCAATCTTCGAGGCTCTTGGATTGAAGCAGGCGGAGAGCCAAAGGCAGCAAAGTCTTGGACCGGAGGCGGTTGCAGCTGAAGCATTGGAGCTGCTTGCCCTCGCTCTTGCCCTTGCACACAGGCATTCCATTGCTCTACGGGAATCAACACGCAAAACATCTTGACTGTTTGAACACTAGTGCTCGCGCTAGAAAAAACACATGGCCTTCTCATGGCATAATGTTGATAGACTGTAAATGTTTGACAGACCAACCGCTTTTTTTGACGCACACGCAAAAGATGCATCTTTCATCATTCAAATCTTGTTCTACAAGCTTCAATCTAGTGCCAACATGTCTGCGTCGTCCAAGGTCACAGTGCCTGCCATCAACTTGTATTTATTTGCAGAGGCCACTAGAAAGGGGTCCCCTGCTTTGGGAAAAACTTGACGACGGCTTTCTCGACCACCATAGCCTTTCCACTGACTGTGGCATGAGTTGCAGCATTCACGATCATCACAGTGCCTTCGTCTAGGTTGGCACAAGGCAGGCGGCTCATACGTCTCACCATCTTTGGGACCACAGGGTTACTCTTGCCTTCCGTCATCAAAAAGGTTGGCAGGCACAGAATCAAGGTCATATGGAGGCAGGCAAGTCATACGTTGGAACCATGAGGTCGCTCTTGCCTTCCGTCATCAAAGGGTCGGTAGGCACAGACCCAAGGTCATCTGGAGGCAGGACACCATCGTCCTTGTCAATGACATCATCGTTGCACGTGAAGACCTCCGCCACGATGTCCGATAATTTTGGGGTCTCGGAATGAGTGTAAGATTGCACGTCATGACGCTTGGTGTGCGCCAAAGTATGCACCCCAGCCAACTCCGGCATGAACCTCTCTTCGACTTCCAGACGCGGCAGCTTTTCACGCACCCAAGCTTGCATGACGGAGTTGCTTGCTTTCTTCCTTTCAACTCTGTTTCCCATCAAAATTTTCAGGCAAGGGGGAAGGTCCAAGCGCTGGCGCTGGTCGACGCCATGCAGCAGACAGATCACCTTCATGTTCGAAGCACACTCGTTCAGATCTACATCAACATCTCTGATGGGAAGCCGTGGCACTAGAGCAGCCATTTCAGAAAGACAAGCGTCAAGCGTCGTGATCCACAAAATGACTAACTTGAGTCTGTCAAAAAGATTGCGACGGGTGTCATTTTTCGAAACAAACAAAAGACTAACAAAGCTGCAACTAACACTATCTCTTACACAACTCACAGTGCATCTTTTCAACCCATGTCACTGCTACATTCGATTCCTTCATGGCACGGTCAAGATGAAGTCTGGTCATGCGCACTGGTCAACACGCAAGCCAGACTGAGAATCTAAATATTCAGCTATATTCAGCTGACACAGCTGGACTTTGGGATTTGCGGTAACGAAGCCAAACAATGACCTTGCAGGGAGATAGTGGCCCAGCTGCCCAGGGGTCGTTATATTGCCACCCGGTAGGGGCAGCAGCTAACTCTGAAGGGAAAAGCAACCGTTTCACATCCAGAAATACCTGGACATCAAATCATGAATCAAACATCCTCCACCACAGAGCGACCGTGGAAGTCTGGCGTAACAATATCAATTTCCATGGGTTTGTAGTAGGGCTCGAGTGTAGCTTTGAGCCCCAGAACCCAACACGGGTTCGTCAACTCGGCCTGCGCGTGCCTCGCTTTGCCGTTTGGGAGCCATAGTGCACTGGTATCCGTACTGCAAGGGATTGGTATACGTTCAAGCTGGCGAAGTGGCCCAAATCCCCAAACTCCCATCGACGGAGGAGGAAGGTCCGGGCAAGAAGCAGAATACAACTACGATCTGCAGTGGAGAACTGGGACTTCGAATCGGACAGAATCAAGAAGGCCTACCGTGCACTAAGGTGGCATCACTCCTGGACAAGACAACGATCTTTGTCGCTGGCACAGAAGATGTCATGGAAGGGCTACTGGGGCGGCAAGTCCAGCGGCAAGGCCGGGAAAGGCAAGACCCGGTCATGGAATCTTTGGGGCACACCTCCAAAGAAGAAGAACGAAAAGAAGAAAGAGAAAGACGAGGACAAGTCCCTTTTTCCAGGGTACGATGCCTTGCGCTCCTCTTCGTCTTCGCAGCCTTCGGTGGAGGGAATGAAGTCGGCCTTGAAAGAAGCTATGAAGTCCACTACAGACAAAGAGTCTGCGGGAAGTGGGCTGCTCAAGGCAGTGCAGCAGATCGTTGGCGCGAGCCCAGAGGACGACGAGAAGGAGGAACTCCGATCCCAGCAGAAGGACTTGAATATCCGGAAGAAGTTGGTCGAAAAGATGTCACGACTAAGGAAAGCCAAGGTCGAGAAGGCTCGGGCCTGGGATACATACAAAGAAGAATTGAGAAGACATTACGACCAAGAACACGAGAAATTCAAGAAGGACCTAGAGGGCATCGATGCCGAGATCAAGAAGACAGCGGACAAGATCGAGGAGCTAGATGCGGAAGCGGCCCTTCGAGACAAACCCTTACCGAGCATGGAGGGTCTAGACGTGGAGGCAGCTACAAATATGGAGCTAAGGGAGCAACTGGTCAGAGCACAGCACGAGCAAGCAAACACTGCGAGGATGCTTGCCCTACTGCAAACGCAGTTCCAGGCATATACCAGCAGTGGTGCACATGGACCTATGCCATCCGAAGTAGCTGCCCTTCCAAGCCCTTCCGATTTGCGGAAAAAGAGATTGGCGCAGGTGGAGCGAACAGGTCCTGCCCAGCCATCTCAGGTGCCCACTTTCCGCATCGACGACGAACGAGAGAGAAGTCCAAGGAGGTCCGAGCCCCCGGGTCCGGACTCACAGGACCTCAACAAGATGGGATAGCCAGACAAAGAGGTGAGTTTGAGTCCAAGCATGCTGAC